AAAAAAAAAAAAAAAAAAAAAAAAAAAAAAAAAAAAAAAAAAAAAAAAAAAAAAAAAAGATAGCAGTTTGCGTATTGAGAGACGCGCAGTGTCGGAGAAAAACGCGCTTTTGCACTCGTATTTTAACACTCGGTGTAAAACACACGGCAAATTATACAAAGGGGAAAAAAAACCGAGAAATCGCTACGATAAAAACTAGCAAGAGCATCGAAGGACGCGAAGTGGCACGTACAGCAAAATGATGATAAATATTGCAAAGAAGCGGTAGCAGCCTGAAATCGAATTGCGTGTCATTTGCAGAGAGAGAGAGAGAGAGAGCTATATAGGGATAGCTTTCTCGGGGTGTATATACATACATATACAATCGTAACGTACGTCGCAAGCTCGGGAGCCGCAAGTTGAGCCGCACTGGCCCACGTCACCGTTAGTTTTCTCTCTCGTGTGCGCGCCTCCTCACGCTCCCTCTTTTCTCGGCCTCCGGGTTGCGCTTGTTTGCCGCTTGCGCGCGCGGCAGCTCTTCTCTCTTTCTCTCCTTCGTTCACGCGACCGGCGTCGTCCGTCTCTGTCGATGATATTATCCATACATACATATATATGTATACCGGGCCGTCGTCCGGGCTAGCTCTGTCCTTGTTCCTCTGCCGCAGTTATAACACACATACAGCTACTCCCCTCGAACGCCTCATGCCGACCGTTTTTGCGCTGCTCGACGGCACCAGTGGCGGTGGTGTGGGCCCCTTCTCCAAATTACGATTAACGTCCAAAGCAAGCCAATCGCACGACGAGCGGCAAAAAGTATCATGTATAGGTGGCAGAGAAAGAGAGCTTCCTTTGCGAAACGTATTATATGTACACGGGTGTATGAAACAAGGGAGGGAGGGGGGGGGCTCCGATTGAGAGCCACTGTACAACAATAACTTCGGCCAGCGTGAGCTCTCAAAATGGCCTCAGCTATTATTACTTCAGGGGGGGGGGGCGAGCGAACGAGAGAGAGTGAGAGACGGGGAATGAGCGGGAAAGCGGCCGAGAGAGGGAAACAAAAAACGAGCGCGAGGCGTCTTCTCTCTCCTTTTTTTTGTTTTTTCCCCTCTGCAAAAGTATAGTGGCTCATGTATACAGAAAAAAAAAAAAATTTTGTGTAACCCTCCCTCTCGGGTTTTATATATTACGTACACACACATACCAGGTATATCAAGTGGAGCACACTGGGATTCGATTTTTTCTTCCTCCCTCTCCTCCCCCTACTTTTCAGGTCTTGTGTGATATTTTTGTGTGTACGTGGGTCCAGACGCTTCCGCGTTGCTGCCACATTGTGTAAGCAAAGTTGTGTTCAGGTTCCTCCGTGTTGACGTGGTGTTTGCTTTTTTAGATATTTCGTTTCTTAGGTGAAACTTGTATGTTTGGGATGAAAAGTTAAAATTCGTTATTTGTATGTGCTCGAACTAATGAAACAACAACACATTTCATAGACGTACACACGAGTATTAAAGTAGATCATTTTTGTAGGCAGGCTTGTGAGTACTTTTTCAGCAGCGGATACTTTGCTGATGTGGGTACTTATACTGATCCAATCTAACAGATTGCGTAGATGCACCTATAGAGTGATTTGAAGAAATGTATTTGTTTGCTTTTATTTTGATTCAATTTATAAAAAAAAGTATGGTTGCAAGTAAACAATATAATACTGTACGCGTAAGAAGGGAAAGATGGAAGTAAAGTAAAAAACGTAGGACCCGTTTCAAAACATTTTTCCCGTGGGATACTTACATGTAATTTCAACAAATTAGAAAGCGGGTAACTTAAAGTACCTTACCTCAGTTTTTGGTAGTAATAATTCTTCACTTCTACTGAGAATTGTTTAATGACTTCCAAGTAACGTACGTATACAACTTTGACGTATTAAACACCGATTTTCAACCTATTCAGTCATCGTGAATTATTTTTCTGATTACTTTTTTGAAATTCTGCTTAGTAGCTCGCTTAGTAGTATACACCTAATGACTTTAATTAACTACTGCCTTTTCAAGTTCCACGTGGCTTGGTCATGTTTCGATTTACACGTATACCTACTTCATGCTCGTTTATAATAGATATTTTTCTGTAAAAAATTGAGTCGTGAACCAATTTACGCGTAGTTGCGAAATCCACGACTGTAATATTCATTGAACCACATAACAGTCAATTAATAAATTTGTTGATGTTTGGTCGACTTTTTTGTCGTCGTATAGCTATTATTACAGAAGTAGGTGACTGTTTTTACAAAATCCTATGCTATGTTACGTGACAATTTTTTATTTAACTGCTGTTTCATGTTTAGAAAATTGCAAATAAATCTTAAAATAAATGAAATCACGTGTTATTTTGTTGCGAAATAAGGTGATACGACTTAACGTACAGTATTTTAAGCTTTCTAAAAATGTAGCATGGATGAAAACAATTATTGAGAATACGGAAAAATCTGTTAACAACCACAGAAATAAATGATGATTATTCAGGAAGGAAGGCTTGAAATTTCTTATGAACCTATTTTGCAATAACTCACTGTACGGAATTTGTTGTTTTCCTTACAAAATCATCGATGGATACGTACCTGTTGAGTAAGCTTCGAAAAATAGACGATTTCTTTTCGACTAAGCTTACACCATTCCCAAATAAACAAAATTACCCATGGTGCTGAACGTATAAATATATATTATGTACACATATTTATGCTGGTACAAACAAGCGGGTATATGGTGCGATATGGTGTATCTATTATGTTCCGTCAACATTCGCAAGTAAACACATTATTCAAACTTTGGAGCAATTTTATAATAAATGTTGATTGTGTCTTCCAGAGCTCATACTTTCGTATACTCTGATAGAAACGATCAATTACAGTTAAACTAGTTTCTCTTAATTGTTAATGGATGAAATGTTGGTATATAAAAAAGATATTGGGGAGGAAAATAAAATTAGTGAACCTGAACACATATTCGTACGTTATAAATGATTCGTATGTTAGTGAATCATTCATTAAACGTTATTTTTCGTCAGCGGAAAGTATAAATAATAATTTTTTATAGGAGAAGAATGTACAATGTGGTTAGGAAAATGAACGTCAAAAAGCGAGTCAAAAAGACATGAAGCAAAGGTACCATAAGACGTTTATTTTTTATCAGAGACTCGTAACGTGATAACACGACTACCTACTTACCTTATTATTTGTAAAAACTTGTACAAAAAAAAAAAAAAAAAAAAAACTATCAATGCTTGTTATCATTGGTTACTCAGAAACTATTAGTGATTCGACAACCTTGTCTGTATGTTTCGTTGCCATTTTCGAGTTTCTACTTTATTTTCTGAATGTGGCCACGTGAAAATGATCAAAACAAGATGTTATAGGCCACGTTTTAAAAAAAGAATGAAATTTATCACTACATTGACGTAGTTATTTTTGTTTTAAAATTCAAAGGAAAAACTTGAGTGAAAAAAAAAGTTTATTAACATTATTTTAGGTTACGAAGTTTTTACTATTAATATGTTGAGATGATTTTTTTTTGTGGACTGCAACTCTGTCAATAATGTTGTCAATTTGAAATTGGTGAGCAATTTTTTTCAATGAAGATATATTTTTTTTTAAAACTTGCACAAAAAACGAATGAAATAACGCATAGACTGTTGTAATTTGTTAACCCCAATTCTAATCTCTTTAAAAATTTAGTGGTATATTTGAAACTAGTGTTTTTACGATTGCTCCAAATTTCATCATGATTCATTTAATTTTGCTCGATAGAAAATGTGATTTGATATTCAAGATTTTATTTTAACTGATTTTTGCAGTAAACGATAGTAAAAAATTGGATTGTAAAAAAAAAAAAAACTAAAGGATGAGAAACGATAGCAAAGCGGGATAAAAAACGCGTCGTTTGTACGCAGTATGAAATCAGTCCGTCGCGGATGTGTCGTATAATTGGCACCAAATCGTCGAGTTTCGACATCCCAAAAGCAAGTGCCGATAAACCGAACCGAAAAGGTATTTGGGACGTAGCGAGACGAGTGCGTATACTTTGGGAAATGAGTATCAAAGTCTCGCGAGAGATCCACATTATTCTTCGCCTGTATACTCTGTAGTGATCATCGTTACCATTATTTAACTTATTTATTTATCTATTTTTTCAATAAAAAGTCCCACGACTTATTTTACCCCTATGTATGATACACGTAACACGATTGGCATTTAATTTTATTTATTTATTTTTTTTTATTTTACATTTTTCATAACACACTTCACGGGATGCAACAAGATCTCCACGAGCAAAGGGCGAGTAGGGGGAGGGGGGGGGGCTTGTTTCCGTCCGGGTAAGTAAGTACAAGTGCAGTAAACGCGTTCACGCTCGCGCCTCGTCATCACTTCCACACCCACTTCTTTCACACGTAGTCGTAGACACAAATAGATACGTATATACGTTTATATATCGTCGTTGTATCAATTACCTGTTTTGTTTGTTACAATGTATAAGTAATGTATAATATTATCTAGCTCGCGATCGCCGAGTTTGAAGAAACGACGCGCGAAGGGGGAGTTCGAGAGATGGGCGCGATTGTGGTGGGCCTTCGTTTAGCACGGACAGCAACAGGCCCGTGCTACCATTATACCGTACAGGCATTGGGTGTAGGTACATTATATACGTACTCTTTGATCAATTTTTAATTTTCATCTTCGAATCGTCTTGGTACTTTTACGCACACACGCACGAGTTTTTATGACGAGCGCGTTGTATCTCGCGTACCTCCTCCACGTAACAAATTTGAGTATCGAACGGCCCTTGGAGGATTTTTCTCTCTCTTACGTACATAATGAGTTTTTTTTTTCCTGCGAAAGAAAAAAAAAGAGAGGAGACCGCTCCCGACTATCTCTTTCTTGTAGACGTGTAGTCGTGATTTTATTTTTTTTTATTATTATTTTTTTTTTTATTCTTAGACGTGGTTGTTGAAACCCGATTGTTGCTGATGGTGGTGGTGCTGTTGTGCCACCTGGTTGATGTCAGCAAGGGACTTGCGGCTGGCGCTCTGCTTCGAGCTGATGTCCGCGAACTCGGCAGCCGAGGCCTTGCCTTTGCGTGGCAACGTTGTCGCCTCGCCCAAAGACGGCAGCTCGCGCGGCTTCCACACTGGCGAACCTGTGTGTGTATTGTTGTAGTTTATTATTTTTTTATTTTTTTTTATTTTTTCAATGGTGGCTGGACGTGGTAATGGCTACAATTATTGGGTACTTTTGATGAATATTGTGCGTGATTTTGCGAAGGTACAGAGCTGTGTTGCGATGGAGAATGCGAGATTTTTTCTTTCTTTTTTCGCAATTTTTTTACCACATGTGTGTATGTCGGTGACGTATGCGTACGTGTGAATATAGCGTATATCAGTGATAAGCGATAAGAGGTGAGCAGCGTTTTTTGGAAAAAAAAAAGATTAGATTGCGTGTACAATGCAAGCATCGACGGAAAATTCAAGTGCTCAGAGATACGGGAATCGCGTTTGTTAACCGGGTCGCAAATGATCAAAAAAAGTACCGGTGGAATGAGGAAAACAAAAAACAAAAAAAAAAAAAAAAAAAATGTAAAAATGGCCTGAGAACATAATGATGGATGTAAGAAAACGTACCAAGCTCTTTAACGGCGGCCGGCTGGTAATGTTCCGGCTTATGGGTGGACTGTATCAGTTTAGCCTGGCTCCCGGTACTGCCGGCCGATATCGTCGAGGTCGTGCTCAGGGTCAAATGGTTGGGCGTGCGGCCCAGACTCGTCTTTTTCTCGCCCGCGTAGGCCTGCGAGTCCTCTTCGCCCTCCGACTTTGTCCCCGAATCCATCTCAACCTTTACTTCCCCTACAAATATACACAACATGTTTCTTTTTTGCTTGTTTGGCTTTTTCTCCCTTTCTCTTTTTTTCCTTTCTCAGGTCCCGCTTACAAAGTCTTACAAATTTTTCGTCACGAGTGTTTTTATTGTAAAAGAAACCAAGATCTCTATACCCGTAAATTTTTTTTTTTTTTTTTTTTTTTTTTTACACAGGTGCAGTTTACAATCTTGAGAAAACCCAATGTCAAGGGCAAATGCCTTGCGCGTGAAAAAAAAGCACAGTCAATTGGCGGCAGCAGGAAAAAAGCGTGGATACACAACTAAGTACACTGCAATGCTCTCGTAAGAAAAAAAAAAAAAAAAAAAAAGAAAAAGAAAAAGAAAAAAAATGACCCATCTCTACCGACAACAAAGTACAGCGTCACCGAGACCTCCGCCAAATCGCACACGAGATCCACACTAAATGTTTATTAAATTTTCAAACGATTAAAGCAACAGTATATGGACATTGGAGAAAAAAAAAAAAAGAAAGAAAAAAAAAGAAAAAAGAAAAAACTGACCGGTCGAATCGCTGATCGTCTTGCTCCTCGTGCGGAAGGTCTGCTGCTGCTGCTGGGGCTCCTCCGCGTCCTTGTCCTCCGAGCTGTCCCTATCGACGGGCTGTCTCGAGGACGTGGCGAACTTGCCCCTCATCTGCGAGTTCATCATCTTGAGCTGGAGCGCCTTCTTCGAGGGCGTGCGCGCGGGCAGGATCGGCGGCGTCGGCGGCATCGTAGGCACAACGTGGTGCTGAGCCCCGTTCTGGCCCTGGAGCGACTTCTCGGCGCCCATGCTCGAGGTCATGCGCGGCGACACCGTCATCGTTTGGTGCCCACCGAGTTGCGGCCTGCAACGACCGCGAGATTGTTATTGATGAAAAACAAAAAAACAACAACAAAAAAAAAAAAAAAACAAAGTAAACAAAAGGGCTGGGGGGTCACCTGGATGGTATGCTCATGTTGCGCACCGACTCCCGGATGATCTGGCGTATCGTTTTGAGAAACTGGTTGCGAAACTCCCCGGTGCTGTTCGAGAGGACGTAGACCTTCTCGGAGCGCCGCTGCAACTGGCTGCGCAGGTGAATCAGTTCCCAGAGGAAGTGCGACTCCATGTCCTTGGCCGAGCTCGAGCGCACCTGGACCTCCGTCACCGGGATGAGCACCTGGTAGCGAATGATCTCGACGTCGCCGGCGTTTGTCTTCGGCAGATTGCTCTTCGACGAGCCACCCTGGGAAACATTCATTAGTGCCAACACTCCATACTCGAGCGTGAAAGAGGGGACTGAGAAATCGTTGTACCATGAGCTTCTTTTTTTGCCTGAGCTTCTCCTTGCAGAGAAACACCACAGCCGACTTGAAGACGAAGCACATGGCGTGCAGCTCGAGGCCCTTCTTTATTTTGCCCAGGAAATCGGAGATGTTGAGCCACTCGACGCCCCCGTAGTAGAGCAGATCGCCGGGGCTCAGGTCGATCGGCTGCGAACGGGACAAAAATCGGTTGCGTTAAATATATACGGGGCATTGGGGTTTAAACGAGGTATCGAAAAAATATAAGGTGGCTCGTCGCAATTACTTGTTTGCAAGATTTCTGGTGCTGTCGGAACAAGTGGTCGAATATGGCTCCGTACTCCTCGTGGATTCTCTGCATCTCGTTTATGTGCTCCGCCACCTTCTCCATGCCCTTGAGCGCCTCTGTTTGAAAAATAGTGCGTTTTGATGAAAAAAAAAAAAAAAAAAAAAAAAACTATCAAGAAAACGTAATTACAGTGTAGTTACTTATAGTCGACAATCGGTGCATTTCGTACGGGATTTGCGACACATCGGTTATCCCTGAGCCGTTGCGTGTGTCGTCCACTATATGTATACTCGAGGAGAGAAAACAGGGGAGAGTCTACCGTATACACCGCACTTGGTCCGATCGATGGGTGGGAGCTGCGAGACGTATAAAGACGCGCTACAGAGTATGTACAGGTACATATACATATACAATGGGTGCAGTGTGTTGGTGCGGTCAGTGGACCGATTAGAGCGCGTTTTCTGCACCGATGCGAAATTACTTCCTCGGAAAGAAAAGAGAAACGATATTATCGACAGCCCTCGTTGTTTCCTCTGTTCTGCCGTTGACGTCGTGTACGTACGATTGTCGCTTTATTATTACTATTTTTTTTTTCTCTCTATACACACTTGAGCGTCTTTGGTTGACGAATAGAAAGATTGGGCCATCTTCTTATATCTTTTCATTTTTTTTCCTATGATTTCTCGGGCTGGCTCAGTCAGTACATATAGTATACACTCTATATGAGAACACAATAGAAAAAACAGAGAGCGTNTGTGTCATAATGTTATGAAATATTTTTAAAATATGCACAAAATATTAATACAATTGTGTTACAAATTTTTTTTTTTACCATCAAAACACAAACATGTATTATTAGCCCTTTAAACGTACTTCTAAAATATTTGTAAGACCTAAAATTTTCCTTGGATAAAATATTTCGTAAAAATAAGTTTTTTGTATGTGTAAAACACTTGTTTTATATTTTTTAAGTACTTGTCTCACGTTCATGTAAAAATAGTTTTATACTTGGGTAATACGTTAAAACGTTCCAAATACATTAATCTATAGTAGGAAAGAATGAGATCTGATAAAATCACATTCAAAGATAAATATTTTAGACAAAAAAACAAAAACAAGAATGAGTATCTAAAATAAAGTACCAAAAATATAATTATTTCCAAACATTTTACACTTTTACTAATTTTTATATTAAGCATCATATTTTTGTATAATTTTTTTTTTTTAACATTAAATTACTGACAACCATTAATTATATCTTTGGATTTTAAATTTTATTTTGATAAAAGTGCTAATATTCAAAATCAGTTGTACTAACAACTTTAGGAATCATACTGATAATCTAAAAATAGTGCAAAATTTAGAATAATAATTAAAATAAAAACATAAACAGCTTTTCTTATTAATAAGTTCTAAAAGTAGAAAATTCTATATCAAAATAGTTTCATAAATACGTTTTTAAGTATTGATACTAATTTGAATAAAAGAAAAATTTTTTTAGAAAAAATCTTGATTTTTTGGATATAATTATATATATATCTAGCACGGCGTTTAAAAAATTTTTTAGCAGTAACATAGTCAAATCAAATAATTTTCGAAAATGTAATGACTTGGTTTTTATACAATTCTGTGTTTTTTGAGCTAAAAAAATCAAAATAAGATTCTCATGCCACTTTAAAAAAATACTGTAGAATACCAAGCTGAGAGATATTCTTATTTTTTACGGCTTATCTTTCACTATATCTATTATAACAATCTAGGGTACAATGAGCCACCTAATCTAATCGGGTTTATAATCAGACATTGCGTCTTGCTGGTTAATTTCTCAAGTATAGGCACAAAAGATTATTTTAAAATGTATCCAAATTATTTTTAAATGTCGTCAAAAATAATTATACAATACTAAAAAAAAAAAAATAAAAACGTTTTTCTAAAATTTTTCAAAAATCCTTGAAAATATTCTAAAGTAAAGATTTTTTTGAAACATCAATGGATCATTGGAGAAATATTTCTCCAAAATAATTGTTCAAATTTTGTAATTATGTTTTTTCAAAACATTTCGTGCTGTTGGGGCCTACACGATATTCGTGCACGATATAAAAATGTTTAAACAATACATAATATTGTCATGCATAGCGCACCTATAAGATGCTGGTGCTCCTCGCTCCGATCGTCCGTGAGATTTCGCAGCTGTTGCAGTAGCAGCGGGTACTTGAGTATTCTCTGTATCGGCTTGATCAAATACGACTCGAGCGTGGACGAGTGCTGCTGGCGCGGGTTGCGCGCTTGTAGGAACTCTTGCAGGGCTTGGTTTCCTTCATCTGCAGCGAATGGTCATTTTTCATTTTCATTTTTATTTTTATTATTAGGAAGCACTTTGATTGGATGTTACCGGAAATCGGTATGATGATCGTTGTGATTGCTTGGATTTTTTAAGGCTTCGTTTCACGCAATGCATTTATAGAGTTGCAAATATAATGTAAATTAGAAGCGAATGCAGCACGAACAAAGTTTTTAAAGACTCTTGCATAGTGGTGCATGTGTATGTATGTATAGGAAAAATCGATTGACGTAGGGTATGTATAGTTATCGACTTACTTGGATGCAAAACTTTTTGGGCCTTTGAGTGGCTGGCGCAGAACGAGCTGTAGAGCTTGAAGTGATTTACATAATATAAGAAGGCACTTCCGATGGAAAACAGGACGTTCTGCAAGCAAATGCATTGGTGTGAGTTTAAGTGCCTTTGTTTTAAGAGACTACCAGTACATATTTTTACCTTAAATTGACTCGGATAATCAAAATTATTGAAATCGGCCTCGACTTCGATCGCGTGATCGAGATTTTGTAAAAATTGCCGCTGGAACGTTACGATTTCCTGGATGTTGCCGAACAGGGCGTTTATCTCGGCGTTCGACAGGAATGTTTCGCGCTTCAGGGGCTCCAAATAGTTTTCCAATAGGTTGTTCAGGTTCTGGAACAAAACGAGCGCCATGACTCTCATCTTCGTTTGGAATAATGCTTTTTTTTCTTTCGAGGTCCAATTGAAATAAAGCCTCAGAGGATTTTACGTGGCACAAGGTAATTTTGTGAAAAATTTGTCGTCGTGAAATGTTGGCTGCAGTTTTTAAACTTCAGAGTCGGGAAAAAACTTTTTCATCAGATTCATTATTCGTCATTTTTCACTTGAGGGCTTAAAAATACAATGCGACTAACCAGAACTTGATGCTTTTTTTATATACATATTTTTAAAACAACAATAGAACTCCTATACGTTCCATAAGCAAAACTGAATTTTCTACGAAACAGGCAGTAATGGAATCTCAGTGAAAGGAGGTTCTAATTTTACCATTTTTCCGCACGCCTATCATATTTTCGTTCAAGTAGGTCAAACAATTTTTTTTTTTTTTTCCATTAAAAACTCGTCGCTTGAAATTAATTCTCTCGAGCCCGTATGGTCGCATTTTTTTATTCTCTTCATAAATCGATACGAATGCTGGCACGCGCAGAAAAAAAAAAAAAATTTTCAAATAAAAAACCCCAAGCTCCCGAATGTATATTTGTACAACCACGCAGGCAACGAAACCAACTGGGCACCACCTGGAACGCATCCAAAAATCTATCACGAGCAAACAAACCAACACACGTACCTTAACATACATCCTCTCGGTCTCGATGAGCTCGAGTATGACCTTCCTGAGCTTCTCGGCGTCGGTAAGTTGCCGACTGGGCGTTAGGACCTGCGAGTGGGCGCTCAAGACGCTACCGGTCGGGCTGGACTTGCGCGTCTCGCCCGGAGATCGGCAGATGCCCGTCACCTGCTCGGCGGTCTTGAGCAGGTTCTCGATCTCAAAGGAGTTCGCCCGGGACGTCTGCTTGCTGCCACCATCCGTGGGGCACAGCGTGTCCGGAAGGGCTTCCTTACCTATTGAGGATGCATTTTTTACTTTGTCACTCTACTTAATTATCTTTCGGGGCAACTGGTGCAGAAGAGGCATACGTTATTCTCATCTTTGAAAGTTGTACAAAGTTATTTTGACGAAACGGCACATCTCGGGGGGATTTTATTTGAAAAAAAAAACAACATTGTATGCCAAGAGCAACAGTGGCCAAATAAATTCACGCCTGAAAAAACAAATCACAGCTCCCGGGGGGCGAGCCTCGTGTTCACAGCTTATCTTTGAAAAGGTTCCTTCAAAGGGTAAATTGAAAATTAAAAAAAAAAATCCTCCGCTCTTTCACGAGACTTTGAAAAGAAAATTCATGAGACAAAAAAATCCTTCCACCGCACCAGTTTCACGAGCGTCACGTGCACGTTTTTTTTCCCTCCCGTCCGTTTACGAGAGCAAAGTACAATGTGCCGGTAGGTAGTGAAAGGGCGCATCGCCCGTTACATCGTTACGTACGTCTCCTTATATAATTTTTTTTTTTCTCCCCTTTCCGCGCTTTTCAACATAAAAATGTATACTCCGCACGGCCGAACGGGGCGATGGAATAAACGAATGGTGTATCATCACGCGTCAAAGCGAGAACGAGGCGGGGAGTGCAAGCATCAGCGCGCCCCTCATTGTATCATCGGTTGCGATACGCGTCGTCGTTTCTGAAAATCTACGCGACCTACATATGCAATAAACACACTATCGTTACAAACTCGAGCTAACGACGACGACGACGAAGGTGTGAATAAATGCAAGGGTATTACATATATGTATACACGCATCGCTCGGTCGAAAAACTTGACTCTTGTACATATAGAGGACGAGGTTTTGGATGTAGGTCGGTAGGTACATTAATATACCCTCTCGAGGTGAGATGCGTCGCGAGCGCGCCTGGCTTTTTGTCACCACTCGCGACTTGGGAGTGGGGGGTGGGCTGTGAATACTGTGACTTCTCGGGGCTGTGCGTTAATTAGGATCGTATATAATTGGAACTCGATAACGAGGGAAGGAGCGATTTGGGGGGCGTAAGAAACAAATGGATGCAACATTGCTCGGGAAAAGGAACTTGGAGCTGAATAACGCGAGGTAAAAAAGCAACTGATGGAAGAAAAGAAGAAAAAAAAAGGAAGGGGAGCAAAGACACGAGGACTTACTCCAACCGGGGGCAGGTACGATGAGGCCGGATATCATTTCCTCGCTGATGACCGGGGGATCGGTGGGCGGTGGTGGGCACACGAGGCTGTCGATGATGTCGTCGGTGACCCTCATGATGCCGCTCAGATCCGGTGGCTCGGTGCGCGAGCTACGCATCATCATGCAGAGGGCCTGCTCCTCTTGTAGCACCGACTCGAGATACATCATGTCCAGGTCGCTCACTATCGCCCCGTTTATCACCATTATCTCGTCGCCCTTTATTATACCTGTTGGAAAATACAAATGTTGTATACGATTCGTGTCATACATCACGTGTCTAGGTACTGAGCCATCTCGCTTCAGACGTGTACGTACATCTTTTACGTAGTTTTTTTTTTTTTTTTACCGAAAAGCTCACTTGATTTTTCATACAGTGTATAATTACATGTATCCACACACACACACACACTCTCACTTGTGCTCATAGGTAGGCTAACTATACGTTTTGTACTTAATTAGGGGTATTGGTGATGTTATGGTTGTACGTGATACCCGGGGGTGTATTTATACAGGGTGAAAGTGCGGGAAAACGATACTGCAGTGCCAATAAAAGGAGGGCATGTAGCTCATCTCATCGGTATCTATACGTGTAAGTATATATTATGCACTCGAGCATTTTCGTGCACTGCCCGCGAGGCAGATTCGTCCGCGTTCTTATATATATATGTAGTTTTCCGATAAATGGCTTTTACGTACTTATCGATCGCCTTCTCTTCCCCCCACCCCCTAATCCAACCCCTTCCCGTTCAGATTATCCCGAAATTCAAATTATTATTAGCATCAATGCACTGTGTTCGATCGATTTTTTTCCCTCATTTTGCCATTCGACTACACAATAATGAATAATAATAACAACGAGGGCTTTCCCATTGTGCAATAGAGTGTCAGACAAGCAGTTTACCATTAGTTGTACATAAATTCCCTCGATCCTCCGCGCTCGTCGAACGAAGGGATGCAATAACGCGCAAATTGCAATAAAAAAATCCAATCTTCCACCGAGAGGGAGTATCTTTTTTTTTTTTCTTCTTCTCTCGTTACCCGATTGTTACACGAGAGAGAGAGAGAGAGAGAGAGAGATAAAGCTCCAATTGCATATCCGCACGCGCACGAAAATTACGCGTCCTCGTTTTCATGGAGATCTTGTAACATGTGTCCTGATGGCAACTGAATTTATTTCCGGGAGGTGTATGATTCCACTTTAATACCATACAAGCTCCGCCATGGTGCTATATATTTATATGATGTATACACTCACGTACACACACTCGCAGTGCAGCTAAACAAAAAAAATCCAAGCGCGCGCGCGATGGCTTTGAGAGACGAGACGTGCAGTTGGCTCAAACAGAGTATATATAATACAGGGGGTATACCTATTTGTACCCAAATGCAGTACATGGTATGGCTGTTGGGATAAAACGCGCGATCGCAATTTCGCGCTTTAGGGTAACGTCATTCATTAGCCCCGAAACAAGAGACAGCAACCATCATCCGATTTTCTCCTATTATGCCTTTGCCCTTCTCATCGACATGCGATTTCACGAACTGCGTATCGGTCACACGCGCTGTACTTATATGGTTGTGTATTCGTGAAGTGTAATGTGACACACATTACCGGAGAAGGGTTGTTTGTAGGAAAATGCATCGTGTATAATTCCATTGTTCGTGTGACGGCTACAATTGCGTTTTTCGAGTTCACTTTGACACTTTCAAATACTTTTTTTTCTCCTACTATACAACGTACGTATAACAATTATTCTTTTGGACAAAAAATATGAATTAACTGTGTTTTTCGAGGATCCCTTACACTTTATATATATACTTATAGGTACACACGCGATGGAGAGAGAAAAATCAATCGAGGAATCGTATATGTGTACCCACAGAGAAAGGGACTGTTCACATATTCATCCATCTAACTCTGGCAGCCCCTGTGCCGTACGTATAAACTTACGTGTCTTGCAGCTCTCTATGTTGGGCACAGCGGGTCTCTCTCGTTGGCGTAAAATTTACGCGCTGGGCTGGTTTATGTATAACGTACAGCCACTTCATATGCACATATACGCGAAGATTGACGTGTACGCACGAGCGATTCCACGCGACCTCGACTATAACACATAGCAGTCTATGCGGGTATATATATATGTATCCACGAATAGACGCGTGTGACGCGACTTGGGTGGAAATCCCGCTAGTCGATGCGAGGGCAAGAAAAAAAATTTTTTTTAAAGGAAAAGAAAAAAAACTCGACCCCGTGCAGTATTTTTTCTCGCGTCCCATATGTTCCCGTGGAGTGGAAAATTTGGGGACGCGCAGGAGAAGGAGGAGGGAAGTTTGCATTAGAAAGGAGCAGCTGGGCTTTGCTGTTTAACAGACGCGCGCGTGAAATACTTATCGAGGGAGGGAGAAATTGAGTTTGGAAAAGCGGAAGTGAATTTACCACTTTTTTTTTTGTTTTTTCCAAATGAGTCGACCGATGCGACGTCGCGGAGTTTGGAACTTCCAGGAAGAGACGTTTGAGCGCGCTTTTAAGGGACGGGGTGATTATTTTGTCGATGGAGTGGGTGCGTTCGTTGGGATGCAGGAAAAGCCGTCGGTGGAAAATTTCACGTAACTCCGGCGAACGAGCAAAAGGATTTACGGTGTTTACACTCCAGGAAGGGCTGGTACACTCCAAGTATATATACGTGAAGGTTCCACGTAGCTTTTAAGAAATAAAACCAGTTTAGAAACACGTGGGTATAACATGTTATTGTAAGTTTGATTTAATTACACCGTGCACGAGATAACTGAGAGTTGGTGTATAAATACACAGTATTATTGAATTTAGCGGTAGAGAAAACAGGGCGAGGGGGTAAAGCGATGCTGCCGGTGCTCTACTGGGGCATATAAATAGAGAGATGAGCACTGATGCACCGAAGGACAAAGGAAGGAATTTAATTGTATTTTTTTTTTATTTTTTTATTTTTCATCGTATTTGCCCTTACTTCATCCATTCAATTAGATTCACCCCCTTATTTTTACCCTGAAATGAATACAAACAATGCACTGGATTATTAAGGTTTCGGACTCTACCTCTTTCACCATCGATTACTTTTGAATTATTTCAAGAATCTCCTTCCTCCCTCTACGCGATCGATAAATAATATGTGACCCAGTGCGAATATGTAATGCATGGGCTCGATATTCATTTTTTGATTTATTTATAGAAACCTCTCGTGCATGCACGCGTACGTGAAACATTTAATGATCGCCCATGTTTTATGCACAAAAAATTTCTCCGATCATCAGCAGTGACAATAATTCGATGATTATGAATAAAGGAAGAAATTAAAAAAAAAAAAAAAAAAAACGCTAATCATGCATAAAAAATTCAGTGACTTTTAGCCGTAAAAAATGTAAAACGCCAAAGTAGGTACATAATGGGGAAACGAAACGTGTATACAGATACGCGCGCCCCCGAGTGAGAGCGTATATATGTATATCTACCGGAGTGCGATCGATTCGAGAGGAGCAAGGATAAGCATATACATATATACACTCCAGCTCTACGGCACACTCGTAACCCATTCTCGGCAAATGTATCTCGCGTCCCTCCCTCCCAGCCTTGGTAAATATCCCAACACGTACACGTTATACGAGTACAGGGGGTGGGTGAGTGTGTACATACCTTAGGATTTTTCTCTCGTATGGACGAACATTTTTTTTTAATTTACAAGTAAAGAAATAAAAGAAAATCGGTTGTAATGGAATGCATATGCGACTGACCGTTTTGCATAGCCACGCTCTTGTCCTCGACCCTGCTGACGTAACAGCACAGCTCGTCCTGCCGGTCCGCGTTCTCGATCAGTTCAGCTTCGACGGAGAAGCCCCACATCTGGTCGAGCGTGTTCCTCTGCAGTTCCACCTGGTAGAGGATCTTGGCGCACACCTCGACGACCTCGTGCGTATGGATCTGCAACGATTTTCGCATGAATAACATTCTGCGGAGGAGGAGGAGGGTGGATATGCCCACTACATTAAATACACTCACGTATGTCTCGATCGTGTCGCTCCTGTGGGGCACAAAGTAGTTGTGGTCCTCCATGTCGCGGCGCTTTTTCACCCGGACAAAGTGCTCCATCGCGTTAAGGCCCTTTCTGCTGCACGCGCTCGCCAGGAACTCCTCGACGGTCATTCCGTCGCGCAGGAAGACCGACACGAGCTGCAACGACAACAATACCACGGACACTCACATTTTGTCTCTATTGGATTACCGATTTTTAAAAGCACGGTGCCACTCATCCGTACACACTGTGTGCCATTTGGACGACTTTTCCTATCAACCAACTTGTTTTATCGAAACAAATCGAAAAATCAACATTTGCTCAGCAAGAACTCTTGCAATGTACCATGTGTTCACCAAAGTTTGGCCTGTATACTTAAAGTTCTGGGCATTTGGGGACGAAACGAACTTTGAACCGTGACCTGCATATCATGTTGTAGGCGTACCATGCAACTTTGTGCCAATTACATATGGCATTCATAGACGTCTCCCGAGTATTCCAATATACGTCTGATTTCCGAGCTCGTGTACAGGCATACACACACATGTGTACGGATGAGTTGGGACGAGAGCTCGGCAATGGGAGGAACGAGATAAAAAAAGTGCCCACCTGGTTCTCAGGTACGGTGACTTTGATGCTTTTCTCGTCGTCCCTGTTGGACATCTGGAGGGAGCGCCGGCTGGAGCCGCTGTTGGAGCGCGACAGGAGGAGCGGCCGGCGCTTCGTGGCTCCGCGGCCCGCCAGCAAGTTGTTCAGCAGGGATGGACTGCGGGCGCAGATGAACGCGTGGAACGACGACACCGTGAACACCCCCAGTTTGTACAAGGTTTGCTTCGTTGCTCGCGATACGTGCGTCAGGAGGCTCTGTGGGTGACAAACACATACATATAGGTACCTATTATGACTTTTTTTTTTTTTTTTTTTTTTTTTTTTCATGTTCCGTTGGTAAAAATTCTGCTTTGCGATCCCATCATCTCCGAGTACAAAGGGGCGTGGGTACGCCCAACAACCAAGCGCGCCTGCTTTTGCATCAACAACGAGCTTACACCACGGGTGCATTACGGACCGCACACGCGAGCGTACACACGCTCATACCTGTTGATCACGCGAATAGTTTTGAATAATACATGCGCGATATATGTTATCTGATCGATGAGCCGCGCTAGGAGCAATGCTGGCGGAAACAATATTGGCCACCCTTTTTTTCATCTTGGTACCTACTATTCCAAAGGTCGATAAAATGAAGAGTTACATGTATACGAAAGGTTCAACCACCCGAATAATTATTCATTGAGTAACAGAGAGCGTTTTTATTGTATACATGTGTATGTATTATATGTTTAGTCGATTTATATTCGCTTCTCTTGAAATTTCCTACCGACATATCTCTCGTGCAGGTGGATTCGACGCGAAAAAAAAAGGGGGGATGTAGGGGGTAGGAAGGGAGACAAATCGATAAAATAAAAACGTCTCCCGATGTTGATGGTATTTTTATACGTTGGGTTGAAAATGTACCTTTGGATTTGGTAGCTCGCCGCTCTGCAAGCTCGCCATGTAGCACCTGAGACGAAACTGCTCGCACTGCAGCCTCTCGAGGTTCTCCTCGTACTGGATGATTTGATTGTTTATCTGCTGCTTTCCATCGATGTCGGATACCACGGATTGCTGCAGGTCCGCCATGTGCCTCATTTTCGAGTCCTACGGAATATCAATTACCATTCGCGCTCTTTAAGCCGATTTTTTACTCGCGCTCGACGTTGTATATACTAATAAAAGCGCCAACGAACAAAGCTACATACATCAACATCCTCTAAGAATAAATATACTCTCACTCGAAAAAGAGGAGAGAATGTGGTACAGGTGTGAAAAAAAAAAAAATAAATAAATACAATTTGCATGTATAATTCGACTAACCGACTCGATGGCCTTGTCCAATCGGAAGATCTCCTCCTGGAGTAGGTGTAGGGTGCCGGTCTTGCCGCGGTGGCGCGCAAACGCCGCCGCGCACGCCGAATGTATGCTGTTCACCCAGTTCTCCAGCTCCACTTGACACGGAGCCTTGACAAACAGAATTTAAATTCAGTACTCGTCCGGCCCCTCCTTCCTTTTTCCTCATCTCTGCTGCTGGCTGATTTCTCTCTCTCTCTCTCTCTCCCTTTCTCTCTTTTGTGCAAAATTTCGCGGAAACACCGTACGCGATTTTTTTGCGATTTTTGTGTGCACCTGTGTATGAATAAAACAACGCGTCCGTCGACCGTTGCCGATCTCAGGGGTTTGCTAATGACGAGAGCGAGAGGACACGGTCATTGATTGAGATGCGCGCGTTGATTATCCGACACCCCCCAACCCCGTGCACTCTCACCGATTCTGCATTGAATTCTACTTTTTTTTTTTTTTTTTCCTCCCTCCGGAGGAACTATAACACAGCCAAACGGAGAAATGTAAACTCGAGGGTTTAAAAATAGGATTTTCATCGTTTATCTGGGTTGCGGTGAAAAAACATTCAACCCGAGCATCAAGAAGGACCGAATGGAACGTAAATTGTTTGTTTGTTTATTTGTTTATTTCTTTTTTCTTTTTTTCACGTTGAATTTACAAAATATTCATTCAACGCGAGTAAAGGTGAATGATTGAGCGGGCAGATTGTTTATACATCGGGCACTCGTCCCGAAACTGTTTCGTAAAATTATTAACGAGCCACACTGCAGCGTTTACCTCATTAGTTATTAACCGGAAGGAGCGAGAAAGGATTTGGAGAAAGAGACAAAGAAGCAAATTTTTTTTTTTTACATCAACACCTGCAGGGGAGAGGATCAGAAAGAGATATCTCAATTTTTGATGCAGAAAGGGGTTGTTTTAGAGAATTTTTTTTTGTTTTTTTTTGTTTATGCTCGCCATTGGATGAGCATTATCAGACTCTGTTTCTAAACATCTTTTATTTTCCATTTTAAAATCTACGTGACAATGCCTTCACTTAAATTCATCCAGCTCTCAAATAAAACAGCACCATTATGTAAATGAAAAAAAAAAAAAAAAAATTGAGATAGCTCTTTTTCTTTCCATACATGTACACACGATCCAACGCGCGCGAGTTCATTTAAAATCCCATCGTAATGCCGGACGAACAGCTCGATTCTCCATGTAACAACTTTAAGAAAAAAAGAAAAAGGTTTACCTCATCGTCACCATCACTTCACGGGTATAAATGTAACGCGAACGAAGGGAAAAAGAGAAAAAGAGCGTTTTCACCCCTTACGGACTATGGGCAGATGTGTATGTACATATATGTAAATCATTGATATAGAAGGAGCAGAAGGTGTCTCACTTGAAAGAGATAGGCATCGCCGAAGGCGGTGCTCAGGCAGAATATGTAGTCCCGCTTGGGGTGCTCGGGTATCGGCTGCATGATCGCCCCATCGACGATGATGAGGTGCTTGGGGGCCGTCTCGACGGCTCGCCTCTCCTGCGAGTCGCACGGGTAGAACAGCAACGTCGTGCCCTTCAGGCATACCCAGTAGCCCTTCCAGCCGCGCTTGCGCGCCAACTCGATCTGGTGCTTTTTGCGCAACAGCCACTTCTTCACGCTCAGGAATCTTAAACAGGTTTTTTTTTTTCAAAGATCAAAAGTAAGCCAAACGCGTGTCCTGTAGCCTTAGGGGTAGGTGTACGAATATTCAGTGCACAAACTCTCGCCGATTTACCATGTGCACTTTGGTCGGTACCTTCACAATGCTCATCGATTTCCCGACCAACGGCCACTTTGTTATTTATTTACTCAAACTACTTTTTTTACTCCTTAGAATCGCGTGCTTGCGAAGAGTTTTGGTTTGGGGGTGGAGAAGAAAAAGAAAAAAAAAAAAAGGGTCATGCGCTTGTTGTTACGGGGTGTGTAACGAAAGTCGTGAATTTAACGCGAGACACGTGAGCGCGCGGTGATGTTGAATGATCGTGTCCTATCATCTTTCAAAAAGATTACGCGCAGCTTGTCTCTGTAGGTGTGTACGGCGTGTACAAGGACATCTTTTTTTTGCCCCTTTGTCGTCGTCATTTATTTTATGGCCATCCAAGGGTAGATACACACATCCGCTGCTCTCGAAACTTCACTCTAAAGTGGATCGTCTCTCGTGCATGTTCTTTTTTTTTTTTTTTTCAACAAGTTACACGAGTGGTCATTATGCTCGAATTTTAGAAAGTAGAGAGGTAGGGGAAGCCTCGAAAAATTTCATTTCATTGCCTGTACGAGGTATCCGTCTTTTTTTCATTCATGCGCACCCTTTTGGCTGTACCTATATACTGTTGTTGTTTTCGAGCTGACCTTGAGATTCGCGTAGCTTGATGGAAAAAAAAAATAGTAAGTAAGTGATGCGGGGACTAGTTTTTTATTTAATATCTAGAGGAAGCTTTTTGGATCGGCTGAAAATTTAATTCTGGTGAATAGGGGTCTGACGCGGGATTTATAAAATTAAAGATTCAAGTGTTATTTTAGGATTATTTTCTACTTTATTTAAATTTGATTCACATAAAAACGGTATTTTCGCTTTTTTTGTCGATGTTTAAAAAATAAACATTATTTTTCAGTTTCGTGGCGCAGAAGGTAATGGAAGCTTTTTTTTTTATGAATCTCAATTATACATCCGAATTAAATTGTTATCGGTTATAAATGTAATAAGTACAACTTTTGAGGGGCCCAAAATTTTTAACAGTAAAAGCTCTATTCTTTTACGTTACGTACTTCATTTCGTGAATTTAGAACAATTTTATTTGCAACTCTTAGATGGAACTAAAATTTTTCTTTTTTAATTACACCACTGGGAGTAAAAGTTTGCTTTAAATCCATCGCGTTGACAAATTGCAGTGCGGTCGCAAATTAAACATTTAAAATTGATCAACTTTTAATAAACCATCTGAATATAAAAAAAAAAAAAAGAAAAAAGAAACAGATGGTAAAAAATAATTTAAGGAGAAGTCCCGTGGCAATTAATCGGAGGTGGGTTGTTTTTTTTTTTTTTTTTCTTTTAAACGAGGAGAAAACTTAAAAGCGCAAAGTTTCAGTCCAATAAATTGCTCGAGGTTCTCTGTAATCGTCGAGGAAAAGTGGAACGTCGTAACAGGACCTCGAACTTTTTAAATTTCGCGAAATCGAGGTGATTTTTTTTAACTCGGATTATATTAAAATTCCCGAAAAACCCCAGAAAACACACAAAAAGAAAAAAAAAAAAAAAAAAAAAACTCAAACGCCGTCATGTTAATCCGCTATAATCCTTCCAACAAACCTTACCCCACAATGTACACAATATCGACCAATCCAAACGCAAAATAATGGAACAAGGAAACAATCCGCATCGCGAGAGACACATCCCTCCCGCCCAAGTTTTTCATAGCTATATCGCTTGCAAACTTTCCATAACTCACGGTCCGGTGGATCTTGGAAGTTTGCTCGATCCGAAAGACGATCTGTTTCCAGCCCGTATAGGTATACATCGATTGAAAACAGTTTAGCGCGCGGTCGACTGGACCTCCGGTATGCCCGTCGGGGGTGTGTGTATACATATAACACAAGGGGGACACGGTCACGGGCCGGAAAATGGAACGGCGAAACTTGCACGGGTCGCGGAAGTTTTAGTAACGCGAATTTTAATTGCAAGTCCGCTTCTGCCTCTTGCTCCCTCAATTCGCTTACCGCAACTTACGTATACCTTCTCGCCACGGGAAAGAGGATTTTCAAGAGTTATGCATGTACATTTCCATCGGTTCAGCTCGCGGGGGGCCTATAGTTTCGAAGAAATGAAACGAGGCACTTTCAGTTGAGGATTCAAATGTACCCAAACTTTGGAGGCAAGGTCCCTTGAAACGGCAATTGGGAAGACCGTACGGAGAAATTTTACTAAAAAAAAAATTTTTTAAAAAATCATACATCGAAAACTCAAAACAAGGCTCATATGCCCATGCGTAATTCTACCCCCATTTATCTCCCTCACACATTGCATCGATTGTCGAGTAATTCGGTGCTGTGTAATAATAGCGCGCGCCGGGGTTTGTTTGCAATTACGTGGTAAACGTTGTTCCCAACGCGGTTTCCTGCAGTGTGTTGATGTCACTCGGACTTCCATGTACACGCATGTCTGCAGTGCATGGCACAAACACCATTGCTGTATCGTTATTTGTGAAAATTTATCAAGTCCGTTTTCCACTATCCACGTGGCGTCCTAAAAGGGGTGAGACAAAAGGATGTATATGTCATTACACTCCACCCCTCGGAATTGTTCGAGACATTGGTCAGGGAGATTAGACTTGTACACCGGCCGATATCACTGCGGACCCTCTGTTTCTTCCGAATAATTATTTTTCCTTTCACACCCCACGTTTACTTTTTTTTTTTCTCCTTCCACCAGCACTGTTTAAAAACGATTTTCGCGCATCTCGCGTCGTCCAACTCCAAAGTTTTTTCACAAGCGCGCGCTAGATCATTGCAATTTTTTTTTTTTTTTTTTTTTTGCTTGTTTCAGAGAGGTTTCGTTTTCACTCCGTGACGTCTCGCGCAAACAAGACTCACCGGAGCGTTAATTTTTGTTTCTCCCCTCCCTCCACCCCCTGCCGCGCGAATCAGGTCAGTTGTAAAGTCACGGGCTCTCCGGGCGTCGAAAAGTATAACTTTGTTCAGCGGTGCGGCGTTTCACTCTTACACGGCACAACTATTGTGCAATACATATGTTTACCCCCCACGCGTGGAACCACGAGTTTTACGATACGATGGATGATTAATTAAAAAACCAAAGCCGTGTCGGAGGATTCAGCCGTACCTATTTGTATTGTGCACAAAAGTCGTTGGAATGTTTATTAACAAACTTATGGATAGTACGACCTCGCGAGTTACATTGTTGTAGGTATTACCTGCATTGCAATTTAATCAAAAAGTTATTAAAATGCCATGTATGCGACAGGCGCGTCATTATTAAGGAGCTTTCATAAAAAAATTTATCTCCCTCGCAATATTTTATCTGACTTATATTGCATCTCCCTAGCTCCCGTCTGTTGCTCGAGTTTGGAGTAATAATATACCCTGTCGTTGAACGGGAAAAAAAAAAAAAATTTCCTCGACAATAGACGTCGCTGGGCAATATTGAGACTAATAATAATCAAAAAAAAAAAAAAAAAAAGGAAGAGAAGATCCTGCTCCCTTTATTTTATGCCGGTCGCGATTAAGATGGTTCTATCGAACGTGTGTGTTTAAGGTGCTTCCCTTTGTTGGAGAATTTTCTGAAATTCACCCAATTTTTCAATTGCAACGTGTCCAACGGAGCGGCAAAATTATACATTGCATTTTTCATCCCCCACGAGAGAATGGCCGGAAAATTGTATGCAAATTTTATACAATTTTAAAGAAACACTTGAATCGCTGAACTATCGTCGGTCCGTGGTACAACATCCGGATATGATTTTTCTTTCACCGAAGAAAGATAGCCAGCTTTAATTTTGTGCTAAAATATTTAAATAATCACGGGCCACCAAAATACACCCCTGAATTTCTCGGTACACCATCCCACCGACAATTTGTTCTCCAGTCGACGGCGTTGTACGGAAAAAAAGAAAAAAAAAAAAACATAAAAATATGCAGCATCAAATCAGATACGTATACAACGAACTGTACAGAGTGAGGGAGAAAAGGGAGCAAGCCACAGCTACTCGGCGAAATATCGTTTTCCTATACATACACCCGCGACAGATCGCTCCACCCGAGGATATCCGGCATTTATCATCGATCCCGCGCCCAACCCCCCTTTTTCTCTTTACTCCCTTTTGCACCGCTTTATTTACAACGGCCACGTACCCATCGTCGCTACTCGAATTTTCAAAGATGATTCCGCACGGACGGCTCGGACGCGTTTTAATCGTCGATTTAGCGCTTCGAACTTTTGGCACGGCTCCAACCGTGTACGGTCCTTTTTGCCCTGTTTTTCCTCGCGCGCGGCGCATAAAGTTACCCGCGTGGACCCATCCGCCCTGCGAGGGAGGGTAAAATATCCTTGACCGAGTTTTTCGAGCCAGCAGCTGCACCAAAGGGCCATTTTGATCGCCCGAATGGCAAAATGAAGGCCATACTGAACAGAAGCGCGGTCGTAATGAGAATATTCTGGGTATAACCGCGTACACTGATTGTTTTTTTTTTTTTTTTTTTTTTTTTTTTTTTCATATTCAAACTACTGCAATTCCCAAGGATTCCACACTGTATAATTATCGGTATTATACGAGGCGTTGGGTTAATCTCAACGCACCGGGTGTATATGCGCGTGCGAGTCTCGTTAATATTCAAGAGAAGCGATTTTCTGCGAACGCGTGCAAATGTATAGCGGCGCGAGTTGATTGTTATCGACGGTGTTGCAGAGACTTCTCGTGTGATCAGTTTGATTCGTCGATCGGTATTTTGTATATATATACGTGTCAGTGGATATGGAGTGTAGAGCGTCCGAGAGTTTGCGTTTGTGTACAGAGCGAAAGTTGATGACGAAGGGAAACAAATGTTTGCTCTTTCGGTGTGTATGTATGTAAGGTGGGCAAGGGGTGGAAAGAACATTGAACGCGAATCAATTGCTCGGCGGGGCAGAATGGAAGGATAAAGAGTGCATGGGTCTATTGGGGCCGATCGTTCCTACGTGTAGCTATGAATAGAAAATACATGGGGTGCAATGGAGGGGGGGGGGTTGGCGCGGTCATGGGTACAATAGCATATATTATTAATAATACAAGAGACAATTACCCTGCTTTGCGCACCGCACCAGTGCAGTTGAAGGACGCGGCGGCTGTTCCAGTTTGCTTGCCCCGGTAGGGCGAGTTCATCATGCTCTCGCCGTCGTCATCGTCGCTCACCGCCGTGGTCAATGACATTCTGTCGTCGTCCGACATCTGAGGATGCAAAACGGGTTTTCGTTAGCAGAATTTTCGTTTGATTCTTCGTGCTTTTTTTTCTTTTTTTTTTTTTTTTTTTCGCGCAGTTTGACGTATATATACAGATTTATCGATTGATTGACACAGATATAACTTATCTTGAAGTTAAATTATTTGATTGATGCAAAAAAGAAGTGATGAATGTCTTTTTTTTTTGTTCAAGTGATGACGAATGACAATTGAAATACATATTATTTTAGGTATAAAGTTGTGCTCAGTAAGGTATCGTGTACGTAGTAAACATTTGACAAATTTAAAAGACTGAAACAGTGGGTGATTGGGTAAATTTGGTAGATATGTACAATTTTGTACAAGGTAAGAGAGTCTTGCTCTTGCAAAGATCATTTTTATTTCATTCAAGGATATTCACAAGTCACCTTGTATGTCAACGATTTAGGGGAAAAAAACGCTAAATCCTATGATGGGTTGAAAAATTCTCGTTTTGGATACTCTGAGTTTTTCTCTTTGAAATCTTTTTTCACAAGAGAAGTAGAATAAAGTTGAAGGCATATTTTTATCTCCATAACTTTTTTTTTCATTTTACACAAAATAGTAGTGGTAATAATTTAGAGTTTGAAAAAACCGGATTATCGAGGTGTCGCTTTTTTCCTAAAAAAAAAATCGAGGTATTGCGTTTTTTCCCGAGTCAACAACGATGCGTATACATCCACGTGTATAAACTCTAAAACTGAATTAGTAAAAATTGGGTCACCGATTGACAAGTCAGTGACCAGCGAATAAAGTAAATACGAGATTAGAGCACTTGAAATGTGTCTCATACAGCAGCGACCTAAATTTAACTAATATATCAATGGCCATTCACTGATTCACATTTAAAATGTACATAAATAAACAATGTATTTAGGTATTTGCATTGGAAACACAGCCAATTTTATTATTTACCAATAATTGTTGGCACAATTTTCTAATCAAGCATTCATTAACTGCACTCTCACCCAAACAACGAGCAAAATAAACTTGGACGTGGCAAAATAACAATAAGTTGGACAAGCACGAACCAGTTGAACCGAAAATTTTCATCGTCGTTGCCCGCAGTACGAGAAATAACGTCACACCGTCCGGTGACATTTATCTGACAACCGAATATAGCAACATTATTATTGTTACTGCACATGTACTCGTAATCACGAGTGTACTATTATTAATTGTACGGAAAAAGTAGAGAAGTCGAGCTGCTAATTCGCAGGACTCGGTAATAGAAATTTACTTAAGCTGCAGGATATATTTACGCCATCGGACGTCGATATTGGGTCAACTGATTTCATCGTCATCCCTGCCACACCAGCAACGCGTTATCATATTCTCTGATTTTTTAATGATTTTCCGCTTCAAGGTTTCCTAAACAGATTCTCAAATCTGGTGGATTGAATTTGCTTCTGTATAGCTCAAGTCTCGGCTCACGTTGAAACTCACGTACCGATGATTAATCAATTTTTTACAGTGTACTTCGATTTGATTTATTATGCAAAGTAGTGTAAGCAGACTTGGGCACAATCATTTTATTAATTTTTCAACACTTTAAAAGAGAAATTTTTTTTTCTGAATACAATAAAATTTTTTTGCTGAAAATATTTTTTATTCATCACCATGTACCATATAATGAAGAAATTTGTTACCTGGCAAATAAGACAATACATTTTATAGATTACATTTCAATGCTTTTGTCATTCAAACACTTTGACTGTTTTTTTTTTTTTCCTTCAAGTTGAAATACATTATATAATTTAAAAAAAAAAAATTTAGGATGATTAATGCTTTAAAATTGTTAAATTATCCACGCCCAAGTCTAAATATCCAAGGGTGTGAAAGAAAGCACCTCGTAAGCGAGCCTCGCGCAAAAGTTAAAAATTTTCATTCACTTGAAAAATTTTACCCCCCTCCTCCCCCCAGCAAGAAAAGCTCGTACACGTGCAGGTAATTTTCAAGTGACCTCGAGATTAAAATTTTTTGCTCGAAAAAAGCACCTCGCACTCGACTGCAAACACGATTAATCACCCCGACGCGTATGGTAAAAAAAAAAAAAAAGCTCCCCACCAAACATCAGCAGCACCTCGTATTTTAGAAGCCCCGCAGTAACATCAATTAGGAGAAAACGGGGCACAGGAGTAAATTCACGTCCCGCGGTACAGCAGGATCCACCAATTCATTAAGCGAACGCGTTGCGCGCTTATTACAAATTCCCTCTTTCCACTGCACTGGAAGGGTTGGGGGGAAGGGGAAACGCGACGCGAATTCTCTCCACCGAAAAGGGCACTTTCAGTTTCGCAAAGGCCGTATATATAGTTGTTCCTCGAGCTCCACGTGCATGGAAAGAAAAAACAGCACAAAGGAGAAAAAAATAGAGAAAACGATACATCGGACACATGAGTTGCAGTATAGTAGTTACAAGAAGAAGACAAAACAAAAAAACACCAACGTGCCAGTGATGTCGCAATACCGTACTCGTGTACGCGGATACAATGAAAACAGCAAAAGGGGGTAGGGGAAGGTGGGTTGGGGGGGGGGTGGAGAAAAAAGAAGAAAACAGCGTCAAGAAGAGTGAAAAAATCGACACGATACCATCCATCTAGGCGTCAACGCATCAAAATCATCATCATCATCAACACCGTCACGATCGGTAGCCGGGAGGCCGCCCTCGGCCGGCCTACTTACGACCCTCCGAAGGAAGTCGGCGTTGCAGACGTCCGCGGCAATGTGGGGATGGTAGTGGCAGTAGCAGCCCTCCTTGAGGAGCTTCATGTTGCCCTTGGCGCTGCCGTTGATCTTTAGCATGTTATCGTCACCCGTGGCGACGCGCTTGAAGCCCTCGCCAAAGCCCAAGCCGTCGATGTAACGCTGGACCCAACTGCTCAGGGCCCCATTGACGCACCTGAGGAGCTTGTTGTAGTAACCCTCGCCGAGGCCCTGGCTGATCTTCTCCTCGACGCTCCGGCTATTGAACCAATAGAGCTTCCTTCCCTCGTTGACGCATATGACGCTCACGACGTGGCGCTTGCACAGGCAAAAGTATTTCTTACAATTGCGCCGGTGCAGCGTCCCCAGGTCCTCGTAACTCACGGACGGGCTCAGTACGTCCAGATAGCTCTTGTGCTCCGGTCGCTTCTTTCCCTTTCTCTTGCCCCCAACTGCCAACTGCTGCTGCTGCGACGACGACGACGACGACGACCTCGAGCATCCGGCTGCATCTACCATAATAGTGCGCCGAGCAGTCTGGCCTTATACGTAGCTCTTTCTATTTTTACGAGAGACGAGCGCGGCTCCTTCCCCCTTCCTCACCCCGCTGCTTCCACCGGCCTCGCGTCCTTCTTCTTCCAGCCTTACGGCGTCGATCGACGCGCATCCTCTGCTCTTGTTATTGTCTAATGTATCTTATTCCTTATTGCGTTGAACAACAGCAGTGGCTCTCGCCCTCGTCCAACCCTGTTCACGTGTAACTCCTCTCACCTCGTCCTCTTCCGATGCACTTGGAAAAACACACCGAACCGGTCAACAAAATATCATCTCACTGGCGCACGCACGTACACGCACTTTCACTGCTACCTGCACACTATGGGCACGGTATATGATATTCACAAATCCGCTCAAACGGTAGCACGCGCCCTATGTGAATTGCGGGCAAACTCCGCTCCGTTGATTACACCCAACATCCCCAAGGGGGGGGGGGAGGGTCTTTTATCACCCCGCTGCAGCAGGGAGGCTCGGTGATTATCGGCGTGCGCAAAAGAGCACGTGTCAACAGCAGCTGGGTGTTCCGCTGGTATCGTGTGTACGTACCGCTTGGATCAATTGTGAGTGTACTGGCTTGAAGTGCGAGGAGGGGGATGATCGAGGTTATTTTTTCAGGTCGATATTTACACAGTCCAATGGACCAATCTTACGTACAAACACACACACGTACACATAAATTATATATACTTATACTTAAGCGTAGACAATTTTAGACTCCGTTTACAGTTGCGTTTTGTCTCCTCTTTCCCATTATAGCTGTCTTCCCTCGTTATTGTTATCGTTCCTACTTCCGTGCTTTTGCTTTTGAAATTCCTTGAGCTTATCCGTAAAACCGTGTATGTATAGAGATATATTTAAATAAATATATATATATTTATTTGTTTATTTATTTTTCCATTAGAAGGTAAAACTTGTACGTGAAGATCACTGCGGTGGATCGACTATAATTCCAAGGCAAAACGGGTCACAGTCACAGGCGATACACACAGTATCCATCCTCGTCTTCGTCGTTGTCGTCGCCGTCGTCATCTACGTCGTGGAACCCTCGACATCCCGACACCGCTGGATTCGTCCTGGCTGCGAGTAAACCGCAGCTAGACACGGATTTTCAAAATCAAGTAGTACGAGCCAATGCTTGGTCAGACCGATGGAAAAGAGGCAACAACAATTGTTGTCCGCGACTTGCACGGGCAAAATGCTAGTAGCCCTGCGTGTACGTGTGCACTCATTTATGTATGCATACGCATTAGAAAGCCATCGACTCTCCGAAATCAAGTAGTACGAGTCAATGTTTGGTCAGACCGAGGGAAAAGAGGCAAAAATAATTGTAGTCAGCGACTTGCACGGGCAAAATGCTAGTAGCCCTGTGTGTACGTGTGCACTCATTTATGTATGTATACGCATTATAAAGCCATTGGCTTTCCAAAACAAGTAGTACGAGTCAATGTTCGGTCAGACCGCGATCAGCAGCAACTCACTCGCGGAATAACAGTAGGAGTAACATTATTGTGGATGTAATAGCCGTGCGTGCACGTATGCAGACAAGGTCACGGGATGATCGAAGCAGCAGCAGACGAGTAGCCTCGCCGAGCCAACATCAGCGAGGCCAGCGTGCATGACGCCAGTGCCATCAGCTCGAACCAAAGCGCGCGCATCTTCCTCCTACACCTTGTGCTCTACTACCGCTCGTCCTCGTCGTCGGGATCTCG